TCTGACTAAAGTTGAATAATGCCCTTATAGGTCCATAGACCATTTACATACCTCCTGATGTCTGACTGGAATACTCCCAGGACATTGCTAAGTGAGGCCTAGTCATTACTGCTTACCTCAACCATCACTGGAGTGAGCTTTTGCACTGAATCAGACCCCATTATTCCACTTTATTCAGGACCCATCACTGCTTTGTTGCAATATATTACATTTTTGTTCTTGGGATTAGATATGTTTTATTATTACAAGGCTTCATTTCATTCTATTTGTTTTTTTTTTTTGTAATGCCATTAAAAAGCAATAAATATACATAATATTCACACTCTAGACATTTAAGGTAATAATTGGGCTTGCTGGGTAATTTGCTGAACATATTGATTAAAGATTTTAGATTGTAAGCTCTCTCGAGCAGGGATCTCCTATATCCATCTTGTCTTGTATTGTAACTGTTCTGTATAGCACAAACAGTTGTCTTATAAATCCTGTATAATAATAATATTGATTTGTTTTTTTTTATAACTACTGCCTGAGAAAAATCTAAAAATTTAACGTAAGTAATATTTTATTGTGTTTTGGTAGTCTAACATGTTTTTTTCTGACACATGTAATTGCTATACAGTTAATATGTTAGTTACATTAATAAGCTCAATTTAAATAAAGGTAAATTAAGGAGTGGAGCCTACGTATGTAGATTATGATCTATCATCGGGAGAGAATTTCTTGTTTTGACAGTACAGATGTCACATGAGTAACTATTTACGATGCAGTATTACGAAACAGCAGTCACGTAGGCAAGCCTCTAGGAGGATTGGCCTTGTTTGGTTATGTGGCTTGCTATGATAAAGGCACATTTGAATATAGAGCACATCATTTTCATGTAATATATAGAACCGAGATATCAGCAAAAATAGAAAATTTACCTACAACCTACCTACTAGCATAAGGAATGGAAAGTGTGTGAACAAAATTGTGACCAATACAAATTTGGAAAAAAAAAAACAATTTCACATGGTGTTCATATTTGTTGTATAGTAAAGTGTAGAGTAAAACCCATTTAGCTCCCATGAACACTTGAGCATTTTCAGGCAATCTTAGAACATTTGTGTGAGTGTTTTTTTAGGCTTGAGTGTGTTTATCTCAAAACTAAGAGGAGGTGGGGCAAAAAAATTGTGCGAAAAACATGCCTTTTTCAGGTGCTACTACTGAAGTCTAAACAGGTCAAAATGGTTACTCTGTTACAAAACAGCTCTTGTACTTTTTTTTGATGTTGTTGCAACAAGTTTCAGGTGAAATGACAAGTCAGGTATGAACGGGCACCATTAAACAGAAAAGGAATGTTGTTGTTGAGCGTTGGAGCGCTTTGTTTCCTTGCTTGTGAATGGAGACTTATGGCAGAAAAGATACTAGGATGAGTTTGAAACCTCCACTGACTGGACCTATGGACAGGAAATCGGCTATTTCTGTCTAGATTCTAACCTAAATATCAAACATCTCCAGTTTTCCTAAGCCTGTGAAAGATTTACCAGAACCTGGGATTGAGACTGATGTTCAGTAATCCTTTAGGCTGGGTTCAAATCCGACATGCTGGTTGTACCCAAGTCAATCAATGAATCTCGATTAATCAGCCTGCCCATAGATGGTTCAAATCGCGGCTGGTCCCAGCAGAACCGGTTGAGATTCGAACCATCTATGGCTGGCTGACTGTACTCAAGTCAATCCATTGATCAACTTGGGTAAAACTAGCATGTCGGATTTTTAGCCGCTAGCAATAAAACCTGTGTTCTCCTGGCAGGTACGGCTTTCCGTGCCCCCTCCCACCAGGAGAACACAATAGCTCTGCGGGTGGGATTCCCCCAGCAACACTGACTGTGTTGATGCGGTAATTGAGCGATTACCCATGGTTGCAGAAATGAAAATTGCAACATCTATGGCCTGCCTTACTCTTTCAGACTAAACTGCTGATGTGAACTAGCCGCATTGAAAAAAAGAATAGAATTGCTACTTGAAATGCATTTCATGCAAAAATTGCTGCCTGAAAATGGACAAGTGTGAATAGGTCATTAGGCCACATTCATTTTCACATTTCTGGTGCACTTTAAGTGAAATTGAACTCTGGTAAAAAACAAAAAATTCTAAAAAGTATATACTCTTACTCAGAAAAGCAGCACCTTCTATTGCTCTCAGCCTCCTCCAAATCTCCATATTTATTTTTCTGCTGCTCTGACCTCACTTCCTGTTAGAGGGCGGTTATGTTTGTTCTCCACTAAATGTAGGAATGTAGGTACCCTCTCTTGCTTGCTCTCAAGATGGACTGGGGACTATGGGATTTGTAATGTGCACAGAGAAGTGCACATGACTGCAACTAACACTGCTTATTCAAATTGGAATTGAGAGGGTAAAGGAGAAGTTCACACACAGAGGACATTACATGGAAACAGAACTGATTTCATGAAAAATAAATTACAGGGCCATTGAGTAGTGGATAAATACGGAATCTTTTTTGGAGAATAATAATATTGTTTAGTGTCACTTTAAATGCATCCATAGCTAGCCAAAAGGCATTGGCAGCACATGAGATTATACATTTATTAAAGTGCAGCCAAAACAGTTTTGGGGAAGGTTTACAACTCCAGAATATTTTACTGCTCCATTGGAGAAAAGTCTTCTCAGTCACTGTGACGATGACAATGGATTCACCAGACAGGAAGTGAAGAATCATCTGCAACACAGACAGAGATAAAAAGCAGACTGGGGTTCTAGCCTTCATCTACTTTATTAAAAATATATACATACTTCTGTCAGGTGTGCTGGTGGAGATTTTCTCACTTCTTGTCTATGGAAAAAATGTTATGGCTGAACATACACTTTAAGCAGCAAAACCACGAACAGGGCCTTCAAATGAAAGTAGAGAGAAGTGATTTGGACCTCAATCACTTTCTCCGATTGAACCAATTTAGGTCACATACTAGATGCAATATTTTTCATACACTGACTTCAAGCGGAAATAGAGAAAGTGACAGAGAACGAACCACAATAGGTGTAACATGGCAGAGAAAAAACAAAGTACATACCTTTGAACTGGAGAAGACTGCTACACAGTGTTGAACCTATCATCCCGGCAAGCTTTATCCAGCAGAACATGTAAAATCTATTAAAATACAAGCAGCCTATCTTCATGGTGTTGTGTTATCCAACTGTGCAAACCACCCTGCATTGCTCATTGGCAACCAAAATTTTGTTGCAAAGTTGCCACTTTGCTATACATAAGTTTCCATCAATAAATGCATTGTGGCATTTGCACAGTAGTCGGGGAAGAAAATATTCCAGGGAATTGTTAGGTTGATGGGCCCCAAATTTTATATCCTCACTTCTTAATTTATTTCCTTAGCATGGTGGTGATTTCTCCTGAGATTACACTCCAGTGTATTTCCTGGCAATATGCCTTTTGTACGGAAGATATTTATGCAAAACGTGTACGTGTTTAACTCTAGCCTAATCCAAAGCATTATTCCAAATTGGCAGGTGTCTCCAATTAAACTCCAGGTTTACACAATAGATCCAGTACCAGCGGGAAGCCATGTGAATCCCCCCAGATTCTTCCTGGCCCTGAAATGAATCAATTTAGAATCCTACATAACCAGACAAGACTGTTTGTTTAAAATGCCAAGATAAGAAACAATTTATTATAGAGAAGAAAAATCTCTCATTTAAAATAGAAATCTGTACATCTTTGTCACAATCAATATACATGAACTGTACAAATTTACAGCAGTTCATAATTTATCAAATAAAAGAGGACTAACAAAGTTCACAAAATAGATGGTGGCTTGTGGAAAAGGACTTTTACCCAATTAAGTACAAGAAATTACAAAGCAGAACTCCACTTTCTAAAAATAAGAAGTTTACTCCGTCTTAGAAAACTACGAGCTAGGAAATGTACAGATAAGCTGGCTGGTGAGAACGCCATAGTTCAGACAGTGTCTTTAGAAGGTGTTTTTTAAAGCCTGTAGCAGCAAAGGCAGGAAAAAATAAGAAATCTCTATTTACTGTTCAAGTTCATTTCACAATATGAAGGATACTCAAGTTTTTTTTTTGGCAGACTTATTAATATTCTCTCATGTATATATACATCTATATCTATTTTCAGTGCAAGTCATGTCTGCCATGTACAGTTCCCACTACGTGTCATATTCCCACCTCTTCACCTTGCTACTGAGCTGCCAGAAATAGTAACATTGAAGACATTAGTGCAAGTTAAGCTCTGCAAAAAAAACTGCAGAGAAGTAAATAAAAATCTTACAAAGACATTGAGCTTTGGGTTCATAGGTTATGGATATGTACGTACTCCATGTTTTGAACGTATTTGTCAGCTGGCAATGTCAGGCTGAGCTTACTCCATGGGTAATGATGCACACAGACATGAGATATCATTACCCTATGACTCCAATTTGGGTAAAGATCATTGTCTATGTCAATAAGTGCTCTTTGCAGAAACTCCCTGGCTGACCAGTCTAAAGGGAAGAATCAGTCATCCGACATGGACTTTCCCTGCTGATTATGGTTCCCTCAAGATATGGATACAGCCAAAGAGCCTGTTCAGTTCATTAAAATGCACTTTTGGACAAGATCGTGGAGATCATTAAACTCCAAGAAGCTTGTCCCATTTAAAGACCTGACCATAAGTGGAAAAACAAAACCAAACACTGCCTGGTGACAAACGTGTCCAATGTAAAGTATGCACATAACCTAATACAGATATTATCACTGACTAAATGTCTAGTGCCAAACACATTGCCTTCTACATACAGGCTGTCAAACTACTAAAAGGTACTGTCCAAACCATGGCACATTCACATCAGTAAGATCTACTTCTATTTTGTGCCCAATCTTCACAGCTGTGACATTTTATACTTCACACTCCATCCCCATAGGAGCCCTCCCAAATTAAAGACAATATTATTCCATCTGTTACAAGATGATCCAGCCATCGGGACTGTATCTTAACCAGATACCGTCATCATGTTGTACGTTTTGGAAGGGCTTGTTCGGCCAAGGAGAAGTTCATCTTTGCAGCTGATTCTGCTTTCGACCAGAGATGAGCTGCCATTTTGGCTACTGCTGCCTGACGGGACTGCTTCATAGAGCACACATATGGAACCATCCTCTCCAATGCGATAAGACACTTCGTATGGATCAATCCACAAAGTGAGTTCACTTGGCAGAAGTTTAAACATTTCTTGGCTGCTCAGTCCGATACGGTCTGCTGCTTGCCCAATCAAGGGATCCATTTTGTGGTTAATCCGAATGCAGCGGTAAGCTGAACCTTTGGAAGGTTTCTCAGGAAACCAATGATGTCTGTAATGTTCTACAAATGGAAAGAAAAAAGAAAAAAGCACACTTATTTACCAACACTCCAAACCAATAGTGAGCACACAAAAATAATCTAAACAACAAACACAAATTAGTAAACAAGTAGATTAAGTTTGTTCGGTGCACGTATTTTCCTAAAATATTTTTAAAAACAAAAATACATGACATGATCATAAATGTTGGATTTACATACTGAGTACAATAATAATAAAATCATCATTAATATTTGTGTTTCCCTAGTGTATTTTAATGACACAAAATTGGGTCTTTGATGCATACATTCATGCTAGAGTTCTTGTTTTTATCACATACCACCCACTAAATCTATAATGCAGCTGAAGAGTCATCGATCCATATGGAAATTGTTCTTTTACTTTTTTTTTTTTTATTCAAAACAATCCCTAGGCTTGAATTAATAAGAGTGGCTCATTCTGCATAATTATAGCAGTACCACGATTATCACCGGGGTGGGGGGGGTTGGGAGAAGGGGCTGGGGGCACGCAGCCATCCCCTTGTTTTATCAACACAAAAGAGCTGCTGTTTTGTGTAACAAGAACCCAGCTACAGCGCAGATCCCTTTAAAAGAACGCACAAAGACTGACGAGAATAGTGACTAGACTGATAAACATCTGTGTGCTGCCTGGGCACATTTCACAGCAGTCTTGTGATTTCTCTAAATGCATTATTGTTTAAACGGCCCCCACTAGAATGCTTGTCACAAACCTAAAAGGGATTCGGAGGTAGGAAGCAGATTTCTAATAAAAAAAAAAAAAAAAAACAGCCAAAAGGAAGTACAAAAAAGAAAGAGGAAAATGAGGGAAAAAACTAAAATGTAAACAAGCCAAAAAATGGAGATCTAGCTAAGTGCCAGCATGTGAAAGGCAAAGCCTAAACGTAATGACGGTGGTCTGATGTAGATTAAGAACGCCGCTCTAACTTGCCTTGTCTCGACATGTCCGTAATTAGAGCAGAGAAGGAAACTCGTCACTGGTGGGCATACAGCTATAGTCTAGGCAGGAAGGACATACAAGTCTGTACTTTCCAACCAAGGTGGGGGGGTGTTGGAGGAGGAGGAGGAGGGAGTAGGGCAATACTCTATTGTACAACAAAGACTTGGAAAAACAAACAGCACCAGAAGCTGCCGTCTGGCCTGTTCCCAGCCAGTCCTGACTAGTCTACAACTGTTGAGTATGATTAACTTGCCCGGGCATACTCCTAACAATCATTCTGGATTATGAATCTATAGGTAATCAGAACTGAAGTGACTTGGAGAAGCTACATCTTCATCATTACAGAACATGTCCAGATGTATGTGACTGACTACTACTAGAGGAACCCACAAAGCAGATCTTTACCCTAATCTAGATCTATACTCCAAACCCACAAAGTAGATCTATACCCTAATCTAGATCGATACTCTAAACCCACAAAGCAGATCTATACCCTAATCTAGATTTATACTCTAAACCCACAAAGTAGATCTATACCTTAATCTAGATCTATACTCCAAACCCACAAAGTAGATCTATACCGTAATCTAGATCTATACTCCGTAATCTAGATCTATACTCTAATCTAGATCTATACTCTAATCTAGATCTATACTCTAATCTAGATCTATACTCTAATCTAGATCTATACTCTAATCTAGATCTATACTCTAATCTAGATCTATACTCTAATCTAGATCTATACTCTAATCTAGATCTATACTCTAATCTAGATCTATACTCTAATCTAGATCTATACTCTAATCTAGATCTATACTCTAATCTAGATCTATACTCTAATCTAGATCTATACTCTAATCTAGATCTATACTCTAATCTAGATCTATACTCTAATCTAGATCTATACTCTACACCAACAAAGTAGATCTATACCCTAATCTAGATATATACTCCAAACCCACAAAGTAGATCTATACCCTAATCTAGATCTATACTCTAAACCCAAAAGTAGATCTATACCCTAAATGCACAAAGTAGATCTATACCCTAATCTAGATCTAACTTCAAACCCACAAAGCAGATCTATACCCTAATCTAGATCTATACTCTACACCCATAAAGCAGATCTATACCCTAAACTAGATCTATACTCCAAACCAACAAAGCAGATCTATACCCTAATCTAGATCTATACTCTAAACCCATAAGGTAAATATATACCCTAATCTAGATCTATAATCTAAACCCTTAAAATAGAGATATACCCTAACTGAACAAGGTGTGGTTTGCTGACACCCTGGGTATCAAAGAACTGTTCTAAAACAATCATTTTCCTGTTTTATCTTAGTTTTTACTGATCTCCTTCAGCCACTTTCAACAAATTGGTTTCAAGATAACGCAAAGCCTATGCAATGTGTGCCGGCCCAACCACTGGCCTCCACCAGGAGTGTGTGTGATTGGATGACAACACAGGAAAAAAATCAGGAGAGAGCGTTGTCATCCCAGAACAGGAAGTGCCCAAACAAAGACCTTCACCAGCTAAAGACTTGAAGGTAACTTATGTTATTAACCTGTTGACAGACTAAATGTGATTGAATTTAGTTATAAAGTCCTAACTGTTCTCGAAACCGATGACGCCTGTTACGTGTCAGCCAATTTCCACACTAAAACCACAACAAATAAAAGACTACATAAAACACAAAGAAAAGTTGTGATCATCCACCCAGACTGGAGATGTCTGTGATGGAGCCCTCTTGTATTCTAGCTGTAGATACATGTATGGTGGAGCTCTGATCGCCTTCTAGAAGAGGGAAGGCATTGTTGATGTACACAATGCTGGGACAATCATCACAGTGTCCCACCCCATACCCATCTAGGCACACACACAGGGAATCGGATGATGCTGCCTTACCTGCCAGCAGTTCTTGCAGGGACTGGTTGAAGGTCTGAAGCTCCCGGTCGTCCATAAGCCCCTTGGTACGCAGGAATTGGAGATAAAGCCCACCGCCGCGATGATCTCTGGCTTCATGTTGGCTCGGGGGTAGTGAGTATGCATGGAGGCTGCGGGGACACCACAATGGGGGCGATCCGACTTTTTCCTTCTATTTTACTGGATTTGTTTTGTTGAACTTTAGCGATTTTTTTTTCTGATTTTCACTTATCTTTGAACGAGTTTTTTTTTTATTAGAGAGAGGGCGATTGTGACATGACCCGAGGAAGAAAGCGGAGTTGTGTGTCAGAGCTGCTGCTCCCTAGTTCTCATCCCTGGGGGTGGTGGAGGAGGACTCGCCACCTTCCCTCAGTCACACATTCCTTCTGTCGCCACTTTCCGAGTGAGAGAGCAGCCCTCCCGTTTGGGTTTTTATACGGCCAGAGAGCGGAACTAGCGTCAGCCGGGCGGGGCTCAGCAGGGCAGCCAATCCAGAGCTCGCAGTGCGGTGACGGCAGCGTGTTGCGGGGAGGACAGACTGCAGCTGACGTAATCCTTCTGCAAACAAACGAGAGCGCAGAGGGAGAAAATTTCCTGTAAACAAGCCAGGACGGGGGCGGCGACCTGCGGCGTCATCCCTGTGTTATGTGTGATGTGCTCGGTGTAGGGACAACATAGGAGAGGCTGGGGGGGGGGGGGGGGGTGTGTGGAGCAGGGCCGGAGGAACTACAAGTGGCAGCACGTCCTGGCCAATATTCTAACATTGATGTAGAAGGTGAATGTTCTGTAGTGGGGAGAGAGGTTTATAGGAGACTCATCGAACAACACCATGACCTGGAAGACTGGAGGAAACAATGGGAGCCCTGCCCCACAGAGCTGACACTCTAGTGACACTAAATATCCTTTATATTAGAAATTAACCAATGCACATCCAATTCTTATACCTAGTACACACAATGTGATCATCGCCACACCAGTCATATTGTCCCTGATCACCGCTGCGTCATTTACAGGGTCCCTGATCATCGCCACACCAGTCATATTGTGTGATCACCGCCACACCAGTCATATTGTACCTGATCACCGCTGCGTCATTTACAGGGTCCCTGATCACCGCCACACCAGTCATATTGTCCCTGATCATCGCCACACCAGTCATATTGTCCCTGATCATCGCCACACCAGTCATATTGTACCTGATCATCGCCACACCAGTCATATTGTACCTGATCACCGCTGCGTCATTTACAGGGTCCCTGATCACCGCCACACCAGTCATATTGGCCCTGATCACCGCCACACCAGTCATATTGTCCCTGATCACTGCCACACCAGTCATATTGTCCCTGATCATCGCTGCTTCATTTACAGGGTCCCTGATCACCGCCACACCAGTCATATTGTCCCTGATAACCGCTGCATCATTTACAGGGTCCCTGATCACCGGCACACCGGTCATATTGTCCCTGATCACCGCCACACCAGTCATATTGTCCCTGATCACCATTGCTTCATTTACAGGGTCCCTGATCACTGCCACACCAGTCATATTCTCCCTAATCACTGCTGCTTCATTTACAGGGTCCCTGATCACCGCCACACTGGTCATATTGTCCCTGATCACCGCCACACCAGTCAGTTGATCATCACCACGTATTGTCTCTGATCACCGCCACACCAGTCACATTGTCCCTGATCACCGCCACACCAGTCACCAGTATTGTCTCCCTGCTCACCGCCACACACAGTCGTATTGTCTCTGCTCACCGCCACACCAGTCGTATTGTCCCTGATCACGGCTGCTTCAGTCACAGGGTTACTGATCGCTGCCACACCAGTCATATTGTCCCTGATTACCATTGCTTCAGTTACAGTGTCCCTGATCACTGCCACACGTCATATTGTCCCTGATCACCACTGCTTCAGTTACAGTGTCCCTGATCACCGTCACACCAGTCATATTGTCTGATCACCACTGCTTCAGTTACAGTGGTCCTGATCACTGCCACACCAATCATACTATCTCTGATCACCGCCACACCAGTCATATTGTCCCTGATCACCGCTGCTTCAGTTACAGTGTCCCTGATCATCGCCACACCAGTCATATTCCCTGTCCCTGATCACAGTGTCATCACTGCCACACCAGCATCATTGCTACATTTACAGTGTCCCTGATCATCGCCACACCAGTCATATTGTCCCTGATCACTGCTGCTTCAGTCACAGGGTTACTGATCGCTGCCACACCAGTCATATTGTCCCTGATTACCATTTCTTCAGTTACAGTGTCCCTGATCACCTTCACAGCAGTCATATTGTCTGATCACCACTGTTTCAGTTACAGTGGTCCTGATCACGCGCCACACCAGTCATATTGTCCCTGATCACCGCTGCTTCATTCACAGGGTTACTGATTGCTGCCACACCAGTCATATTGTCTCTGATCACTGCCACACCAGTCATATTGTCCCTGTCACCGCCACACCAGTCATATTGTCCTTGATTAACAGATGAGAGCAGGTTCACCCTGAGCACATGTGACAGACGTGAAAGGGTCTGGAGAAGCCGCGGAGAATATTATGCTGCCTGTAACATCGTTCAGCATGACCGTTTTGGTGGTGGGTCAGTGATGGTCTGGGGAGGCATATCCATGGAGGGACGCACAGACCTCTACAGGCTAGACAATGGGATCCTGACTGCCATTAGGTATGGGGACGAAATCCTTCGACCTATTGTCAGACCCTACACTGGTGCAGTGGGTCATGGGTTCCTCCTGGTGCACGACAATGCCCGGCCTCATGCAGTGAGAGTATGCAGGCAGTTCCTGACGGATGAAGGAATTGATACCATTGAATGGCCCCCACGCTTGCCTGACCTAAATCCAATAGAACACCTCTGGGATATCATGTTCTGGTCCATCCGTCACCTCCAGGTTGCACCTCAGACTGTCCAGGAGCTCAGTGATGCTCTGGTCCATATCTGGGAGGAAATACCCCAGGACACCATCCATCGTCTCATTAGGAGCATGCCCCATTGTCAGGCATGCATACAAGCACACGGGGGCCATACAAACTGAGTACCATTTTGAGTTGCTGCAATGAAATTTCAGCAAAATGGACCAGCCTGTTGCGTAATTTTTTCACTTTGATTTTTGGGGTGTCTTTGAATTCAGTCCTCTGTAGGTTGATAGTTTTAATTTCCATCAAACGATGGGGCATCCTTACATTCCTAACACATTACCCAGTCCATATCAGTAAAGATATCCAGCATGATATTTTACCCCATTGAGATCTGATGTGTTTTCAAAGTTCCTTTAATTTTTTTGAGCAGTGTATAATATAGGGCCAAACAACGCTTTGACAATGTAATCCAATAAGAACCAGAACCTTGCCTACAAGAGCTTACAATCTAATTAGAAATGAATAGCTCTAATATAGCCTACAGAACTGAGCATTGCTCTAATCATATCATCCAATAAGAACCAGAACCCTGCCCACAAAATCTAACAATCTAAATAGATATAAAAGGCATTAATATGTTCTGTAGGAATGAGCAAGGGTATGGTAATACAACAGGAACTAGAATCTGCTTTAAAGAGCTAATAGCACATATGTATATGTTCTATACTATCAGCTGAGCAAGGATAAAATATCATCCAATAGGAACCAAAACCTGCTCAGAAGAGCTAACAATCTAATTAAAAATAATTAGCAATAATACATACTGTAGGGCTGAGCAAGGTTATAATGTAATACAAAAGGGACCAGAGCCCTGCCCACAAGAGCTAACAATCTAATTATATTTAATTAGCACTAATATATTCCATAGGGCTGAGCAAGACTAGAATCAAAATCCCGTCCAACGGGTCTTTTGTCCTTATCCTTGATTATTAGACAAACACATTTTTGAAAAGCTGTACAAAGTGAGAACTGAAGGTGTCCATGATGTCAGAAGAACCTTGCCTGACCTAGCTTTTTACCTGGGGGGGAGTGATTGGGTGTGTTTGAATACCCATGACAAACTGTTGATGTTCCCTTAGGCTATTCCTAGACACAGGATACCAGTATAAAGAAACAAGAGATATTGAGTTAAACTTCCATCACCTGACAATGATCATGGAAAGATTGCATGAAAGCCTTTTAACCCCTCCCCACCCAGCTCCGAAATCCTATTAAGGCTCATTTACGCCTGGGGGTGGGATTGACAGTCCAATCTTGTGGCCATTCTCATTGGCTGTCACAGTGATCACATGAATGAGAAGCTATCCCACTGGATTCCAACTAGAAAGTAGAAACCAAGAGATCTCTTTGACAGATGTGTCATATAGTAAGTGTGCTCTCAGCACAGAAATCTTGGCCGTCCATGGATGCATATGTGTGATATGTGGGTGCTATAGGCCATCCTCCCTGCCGATGCACATATGTGTTGCGTGAGCTGCAAGAGCTTAAGATGACCATATACATCACATTATCACAGTTTGATTGTATGATCTCTTTTAGGTCAACTATGAAGGCTAAGGGACTGCTTTGATACAAATTTGTTTACAAACTGTATTGGTTATGTAAAGCCTCATATTATTGTACAGTCATATTGTTACAAGTATGGAAGTTTAGAAAAAAAAATAATGATTTCAATATTTTATGCCATTTTCAGTTGGATGATCTATTTTCATCTCAGGACCTTTTGACGGAAGCCAGTCGTTCGTCCAGCTTCTGTTGAACAAACAGCGGTACACGCGTACTGAATGTGGCCCAGTTCTTGCTGAACCGTCTGGTTTTTGATAAATGTGTATTGGACTGTAGGCTTCATTCACACGGACACTGTTTTTTGGAATAGCCCTGAGCTCTGTGCAGACAATCTATATGGGTGAATGAAGACGCAGCAGCTACAGACTCAACCGCACAGCCATACTGTGTATGTTCAAGGCCGTGTGCCCATACCTGCAAACCTGGTAAACTTGGCTGTGTGGGTGAATCCGTATTTTGTAAATCAACATTATTGTGTGAAAGATCTATGGTACAAAAGATCTTTTCCAAATCTCATAAGCACCATGTAATGTCTATCCTAGATTGTAAGCTCGAAAGAGTAGGGCCCTATAACCCCTCGTGTGCTGTTTGTAGTTG